TTCCTGCAGGGAGGCTCTCCAGCCGCTCCTCTCCCCCGCCTGCACCTGGGTACTTTACGCTGGATACCAGGTGCCCACAAAACCCTCTCTATCAGTCCTCCCCCTCAGCTGCGCCAAGGAGAGAAAAAAAATAATGAAAGTCTCGTGGGTTGAGATAAGGACAGGGAGAGATCACTCACCAATTACTGTCATGGGCACACCAGACTTGATTTGGGGAAAGTTAATTTAATTTATTACTAATCAAATCAGAGTAGGATAAAAAGAAAACAAAAAATTGAAAACACCTTCCCCCCACCCCTCCCTTCTTCCTGGGCTGAACTTGACTCCCCGTTTCTCTACCTCCTCACCCCAGCAGTTCAGGGGGACAGGGAGTGGGGGTTGCAATCAGTTCCTCCTCAGCGGGAGGACTCCTCACACTTTTCTTTGTCTCCAGCGTGGGGTCCCTCCCATGGGACTCAGTCCTTCACAAACTTCTCCAATGTGGGTCCTTCCCATGGGCTGCAGTCCTTCATGAACTGCTCCAGCGTGGGTCCTCCTCGGGGTCACAAGTCCTGCCAGCAAACCTGCTCCACCTTCTCTGGCTCTTCTCTCCACGGGTCCACAGATCCTGCCAGGAGCCTGCTCCAGCGTGGGCTTCCCACGGGGTCACAGCCTCCTTCGGGCACCCACCTGCTCTGGCACGGGGTCCTCCATGGGCCTCAGGTGGGGATCTGCCCCACCGTTAACCTCCACGGGCCGCAGGGCACAGCCTGCCTCACCGTGGGCTTCCCCACGGGCTGCAGGGGAACCTCTGCTCTGGCGCCTGGAGCACCTCCTGCCCCTCCTCCTTCACTGGCCTTGGGGCTGCAGAGCTGTTGCTCTCGCATATTCTCACTCCTCTCTCCCAGCTGCAATTGCTCTCACACTGTTTGGTTTTTGGTTTTATTTTTTTTTTTTACTTCCTTTCTTAAATACATTATCCCAGAGGCACTACCACCGTTGCTGATGGGCCCGGCCTTGGCTGCATTAGCTCTCTCAGGCACAGGGGAAGCTTCTAGCAGCTCCTCACAGAAGCCACCCCTGTAGTGCCCCTGTTACCAAAACTTTACTACACAAACCCAACACAACTTACTATGTCTCACTAGCCTTCGAGAGGTAGGAATTGAGCTTCTTCCTGGAATTAGACCAAAGGCTTCCCCTCAACAGAATGAATTAATCAGATTAGGAAGTTTTAGCAGTTGGATGCGAATGGATGTGTTGTCCTTCAGTGTCTTTCCGCAACAGCAAGAAGTTTGTCTTAGACATTATAGCCTGACACAACACTAAGGCTCAGAAAGACCTGCATATTTGTAAATACACAATAATGGATCAAAAGGGGATTTCAATTTCTTATTCTTAGGCTTTTGTTTTGCTACTTGACAAAGAAATTTGCCAGGATGCTCAGTGGTATGTTTCAAGATCTACACATTATTAACTCTTCTAGAATTGCATGCAGAGACTGATGACACTGTCACTTACAACAGAAATATTTTAAATTTAATCTGAGGTAAACAGTATAGCAGCTTTATTTTTGAAAGATGAGAAGACCTTTTGTAAAAAGACAGCAAAGCACCAGTTTTAAGTGTCCTGCTTAATCTTTACATCTCGTGGGTTTTACCAGTCCAGGTACAGTGCAGCAACAAATGAAATCAGTGTCTCTTCTTATCTATGTCCTAAGACTGCAATTTCTTATAATTAATATTTTATAAGTTGTAAAGATACATTTTTAAAGCAATTTGATCCAGGTCCTCTTCTGGACATCTGTGGAACAGGTTTTCAACAATGTTTTTATTTCTTGGAGAGCACGTTCCTTTGAAATACACTTTTTCTTATAGAGAGGTATCTTTCTCCATTTTCAGGACTGTACTTGGATGCTGTGATATGCTTGTCATATCAGGTCCATCATATTCCACTGACTTGAATTTTATAATGTAAAATGAATACAACACATTTGTAATGCTACTGCCTAAAATGAGATTAACATCTGCAATCCCAGGGTAACATTACCTGCTAGGGGCATGTAACCTCCTCTCATTTCTGTATTGATAATGCAGAGTTTATTAGCCTTCCTATCTGTTTCATCCAGAATTTGTAGTGACAGCTTCCTAGATTCCATGGGAAGTATTGGCAAAAGCTCATTTATAAACACTGACAATTTGGACAACTGGCTCGAAACCAAAAGCGGAGAAAGGTTATTCATAAGATCACAAAAGGGACACACGGGAGACCAGTGAGTTAACCTGCTCAGTAACTTGGATGTTTATACACTATTCCAAGAAGCAGAGTATAACAAACACAGATAGAATATTAATATAAGAAGGAATGGCATGTTCAGGAAGGACAGGTAGAGAATGTAATTTAACAAGAATAGATGAAAAATCCTGTACTTTAAAGGAATGATCAAGTGCACAGATATGGTACGAGACTGTCTAAATCAGGAGCAGTACAAAAAAGGAATACAGAAAAAGATCTGGATGTTAGTGTGTATCTCATGATAAATATATTTTAACTGTTATGATGGTGAGGTGAAAAAAAAAATAAAAAAGATTAACACAAAAGGAAGTCCTGAAAGGAGTAGTGTCTCTGAGATACACGAAGCCATTATTCTGATTTCTACAGCACAGCACTCAGATGCAGTGCTGTATCCAGCCCGGCATTTCAAAGAAGATGGGTACCAATTAGAAAGGTTCCAGAGCAAAATGACGAACAGAATCTTGAGAGTAGAAAATTCAAAGGAAAAGGGATTATTTAGCTTAGCAGGGAGGAAACTAAGGACAAATATGGCAGCCATCTTCAAAGATAGAAGGATGGCTAAAAAGGAGAACTTCCTCATATCAATTAGAAACAGATAAAGGAGTAATGGATTAGATGATACAAAGGTTGATTTAGGTTCAACAAAAACAAAAATAAGACTATTTAAGCTCTGAAATAAAATACTCGGGGAAGCTGTGAAATCACTATCCACAGGAACTGCGCAGGTATATCTGATCCTGCCTTCAGACAGGGAGAATGGGCTGAGTGATTTCTCAGAGACCTTTCTTACCCTGTTTCTATGATTTCTATGATTCTGCTCTGCCTCTAGCTCCCTTGAGGATGGGAATGAAATGTGACGTATCTCTGTCCTTACAGGTAATGGCAGGAAAAAATGACAAGTAATATGTGTATAAGGGCAAAAGATAGAAAGCTACACAAAGAAATACAGTAAGTGATACAATCTCTCCAATACATCCATGTATTTCTCCCCATTAATACCTCTAGCATTTATAAATTATCTGATAATTTAAGACTCAATCTCTTGACTGAATGTCAGTATGATCTTGCATGTTCCTGGAGCAGACAATATATAAAGGAAGACAGATCAGCCTTTTAAATTGAATTTAAAATGTGTTTTAAGTTAATGAAATTAATGAAAATAAATGTTTCCATTTATTTTTCCTATCCACAACAAAATAAACCTCAAAAACGTAAGGTATTTCAAATACTATCCTTCAACCCTTTCAATTTTAATGCTATAATGAAACATTTCAACCACTTCATCTTATGTAACACACATACCATTTCCCCCCTACTGTAAGTAATTCCAGAGGTACCAGAGTCCTTAGCACTGATTTATTTTTATATCAATGAGAAATCTGCATCTTGGTTTCAGTTTCGTTTCAGATAGACTTTTTTACTTTAGTCATGCATTCCACTGTGATTATTTCCAGTCTGTGATTCTGCAACATTACTAGGCAGGTAGATTTGGGCATTCAAGATTCAGAGAGACAAAAGAATGGTATTAATCACCCACAGCCACATCCCTTCCCTTCTTCCTAAATGAGAGTAATACTTATTATATATGTTACATGTATGTAAATGGATGTATCTAAAGGCATGACACAGACTCTAGTGTACTTTGTCAAACTTCAAATGAGAAATTCACTTATTCTGTCATAAAGATTTTAAAATACAAAAATGAACACAGAAAAATCATAGCTTTGACTAAGTCACCCCCAAATTTGGCCTCAGAAAAAAAGAAATGTACTAACTTTATTTTAAAATTTAAATTAAGGTTGTGTGTTTTAAAGGATTTTTGTTCCCGGAATTTAAAAAATGGTTCTTCCATTCCTTCCTGGAACTTCTTATCCGTCTCATTATAAATCAAGAATATGCTTCATATTCAAACTGTAGCACAAAAAAAGTTATGCCTACAACATCTGCCATTTATCTTTCTGTATTAATACATTTCAAAGTTATTTACATATACTCATTCTGAATAAAATTTCTGACTGTATTGCTTAAAAGAAAAATTATTTAGCATTAAAATTGCATTGTTCTTTTTAACATCTTGCAAGCACTAATTGATCCTCATAATGGTGACAGAAGGTAAGAAAGTACTATTATCCTGTCTTTATCCGGAGGAAAAACTGAGTTAAGGAAATTTAACCACTTGCCCAGTGTCACATCTTGTGTCACTCAGGACTGAAATCACACCATGATTCTGTACCTCAAGGATACCATTTAATTTTAAAAGTTTTTGTAGGATTTAGGCATCTGTCTCAAAGCAACTGTCTTAACATAATCTCTCAAAGAAATGGCACATCAGAAAGTGCTAGATCTGTGTTCCCTGGAAGCCTACATATGACCAAATATTTGCCTTTAAAACATTCCAAAACACAGAGAAAGAGAAAGAAAAAAAAAAAAAAACAACACCAAAAAAAAAAATCAGTAAATACTTAATATATAATCACATCCAAAACAATTACCTAACAAGCTGTTAGGCGCAGATTTATAGTGACACATGAAAAATTAAAGTTGTTTTGAACGTTTCTGACAGTGCAGCATCTTTGCTCAACCAGTCCTATGATTAGAAGTACCCCAGAGAAATATAAAATTGTGCTGGCACCGCTGATTTGTAAGGGCTTTCTCTGTCTCTTGTCTTTCTATTCCAATTCCCTCACTTCCTGTACATCTGTCATGGTTAAAATAAATGTAAGACATACCTTAATTGTACTTGTGTGTGCACCGGGATATTCTTTTTCCTCCAGTGTTGACCAACGTTGTATAAATTTTGACACCAGAGGATCATCATAGTCAACTATCTGAAATCCTGAGACGTTAGCTCCTCCAAACTGAATTTTTGACAAATCTCCATCAGTAAATCCCTGGGCACAGAAGACATTTCATCTGTTATTCCAACAGTTTTGGCAGATGTCTCAATAGTATATACAAATAAAGAGTTACCATATGACTTCTATTGCAGAAGTGTAAGCCAGCATTTTTCTCACAGGATCCAAGTTTAAATCCTGGGCTGCCAGGATTAAGTCATCAGCTTTGCCAGCCAGCAATGCCTCTTGTTGCTCACTAGACATACACCTTTATAGAGCAAGGGCGGAGTGGATCTGTCCTTGCCATGCTTACTTTCCTATCAATCCTGTTAATTCCAATGGGACTGCTTGAATGAGAAAGGGAACACTGACATGAATCATAGTTAGGCAAACAAGTTTTAGCCAGGAATAGTTACAGCCACAGTTGTATCCTCTTTTTGCTAGAAACACTAAAGCACATGGAAGGATTTACCATCTCCCCTTCCTCCTCCCTCCAGTATAAAGAACTACTTCTTATTCTTACAAACAGTACCTATGTTCTGTTTCCCATGTTCTATGTTTTAACTTGCCCCAAATAACCATACAAATGAATTTACATGAAATACTGATTTCAGACACTTCAGTCAGTTTAAATGAATGCTCTAAGTGAACATAAATAGAAGTAGCAACTTCAGACCACATAATCAGAAGCTGCTACGCTTGCTATACTAGGTGCTCTTTAATTATTGCATACTAATGATACTCATCAGTGATGTGTTGTTGCATGCTAACACAGACACCGCTACAGGGATCACAAAACTTTCTTCAATGTTATTATGAGCTTGATGTTTCAACAGGAACATTCATTGTATACTTTGACCTCTTCTCCATCTATCAGCATGTCTTATTCTTAAAATAGATCAGTTTCTTCACTGACTGATCAGACTGGAGGAAAACATTATTACAGTAAAGAAAAGAAGAAAGAAGGTGGATTCAGTGAAGAAGATGGGATATGATCAAGTACCAGATAAGCGTTCTTTCTGACAGAGAAATACACAGTTTTGAAATAATTACCATATATATTTTATATGATATTATACAAAATATCTACAATGTTTGTATTTAAACTATTTAAATCTGTAGGAAGCAAATATGGTATTAACCAGCTTTAAAATACTAGAGTCAGTAAGTTTTAGATCTTATAGGCTTACTGTGGCAAAATTAAAATAAAGGCTAAAATAGTAACCAGTTAACATAATGAAATACACTAGGCAATTTTTCTAAAATGTTTGTTTCCCTTAAGACTCAAAATACTGTTTATACATTTGCAATGTAAAATACTATATACAGTTAGGGAATACATTTAGGCAATTTTTCACACACTGTAAGATTTTTATGCTTGCTTTGCGAATATCAGTACCTTAACTTGTTTATCCTGAAAATTAGTTAATAACTATAAAAATGAAACCCCATTGTCTTAATTTTAAAGAAGCCTTTAGAGTGTAAGGCTTCTTTGCACCTGTCTAGTGACACACGTGATTCTTTGGAATACTGTCCACCTGGAGTGGGAAGTGTTTTGATCAAAGGTTGGGAGGAGACAGAGGTTATGTCTGAAGTGTGATAGACACACGATGGTTGTGCTGTTTCCTCAGACCCCTTGAAGGACTATGGAAGACAGAGTGTATATTAGAGCACCCTGGGCCCTGCTAGAATTTATATCAAACGCTATCATAGTCTAAGAATGAATGATGAAAAAAAATTATTGAGAGCCATTCACACCATGCATCTCCCAAAATTCTTTTCTGTAACAGAATTAGCTTTGTTACAAAAAAAAAATTAGATTCCCTAGCTTTAGTAAGTGTTGCTTACTTTATATCAATAAAATGTCCCTTCAACTTTAGACACAATTTCAAATTTAGCTTGACAGAATTTAGTGAGTTTACTGAACCTTCCCCCTTAAGAACACTATTAACTATACTGTCTGATCACCTATGTTCAAGAAAAGATTAATTCAAACTGATTACCAAGCCTATCTGAGGAATGAAGATGTATAATGCTGAGACTCACTAGTCTAGCAGAATGATAGCTAAGAACTGTAATTTTAAAGTAATTTAGAGGTGAGAGAAGAAACATTAGTTTGCTGAATGAATGTACCAGCCTATAATGCAGAAAGTTATTTTTCTGATTTCCATATCCTACTTTTCTAACATATGTAGAAAAAGGGGTGAAGTTCTACTGAAGGTCCTGAGCAACATTCATCCCTGTTGAGGGGAATATCATGGGAGGCATTTAAATCCTGAAGAGACTCCACCAATAAAACAAACACCATCTCGACACGTGTATTCATTTAGCAAGGATAAAGACATTTAGCTTTTTTTTATTTTCTAAAATACATTTAAAATAAAATACTAGTTGATGTGCAGTTGATACTGTTGATAAACTGTAAAATGAGTAATACAGGTATTTTAAATACTAAAAATGCTTACCAGATTTGCAATGATATAATGGTATCCTTTAACATGTTTACCAATTGTGATAACCTGTGAAAAAGAAGAAATATCCCTGTAATGGAGAACATTCACCTGATATATTGACTGAGACTTAAAAACTACAAAACGCAGTATGATGTAAAAGCTAGTTATGACTTTCATGGAATGCAATACTGGATTTGTTCAGTGGTTTACTTTTTATTTTACCTGATGCACCATTGAACACACTCTCTGCTGGTGGAAATTAGTCCTGATGAAGTCCAAGTCCCAAGATCTGTAAACAGAGGAGCTGAATGCTCATTACTATGCTGTGCATTAAAGGCACAACCTGAAGAGGCAAGAGCAGGCATCATGCACTGTGCCTCAGAGATTCCTGTTTAGATTCTGCTCCCTTTGTAACAGAACTGTAACGTTCCTTGAACTAGAAAAAAAATTAAAAGCCCTCTGACATTAATGAAGGTATCTACATTATGAGAAAGTCTTTTAAACTTCAAATTGTTGCTTATTGCCCTAAGGCTTCCTCATAATCTCCCTCAAAGCCAGCTGGTGGTTTCTTAGCAGTCTCCACTGGCAGGCATGTAGCATGGATTCTTCTTCCAAATAAGCCTAATTAAGACTACATCTGTATGGGGGAGTTTGCATTTTGAAGCAAAACACTTCTCCAGAGAAAGGATCCGGGAGACTCTAGAGGTTCCCTCCATCTTTTTGAACAACTAAAATCAAGAAAGTATGATTCATTTATTTCCTCATTTAACATAACTAAAATATTCCGAATAGGTATCCTGTAACTTATATCAGTGAATGACATTCCACATACTTGCTTTAATGAAGTTACAGAAATAGAAGGCAGTGGTTAACGCTGTTTTATATTACTTGAGTTTGAGACTAAGAGGGATCATATTATATAGGCCATGGAAGTTATTAGATTATTCCTCTTCTGAGCTCAATATATGCATGATATATGAACTTAATAATTTTGAAAGTTACTTGGTTCAGACTACTTAAAACTCATTACTTACTAAAAGGTTTAAGAACTATCTTCAGATGTATTTCTTACGCAACTGCTGCTTCCAAAGAGATTTCAGTTACACCAAACAGATTAGCTCTTTGCATAAAATGCTTCTTCATTGGTATCTGAGAAAACAACCAGCAACTGCAAATCTTTGGATCAATGGTGTTCACCAGTGTCCCTAGTTTAGACTAGAATCTCAAGCAGGGATAGACAAGAAGTGGCAGTAATTGCATGGCTGCCCAAAGGGTGTTATCAGGGGGAAATGAGATTCTGCAAAGGGAGCTGGCTGAGAAGAGACAGAGGCTATATAACGAAGAGCATGATAACGCTGACCTGCCAAATCAGAGAAGAGGAATATAAACTAGTCTGAGGAGAGATGGGGAACTGAAATATTTTTGAACTGTAACACAGAAACTGTAACACGAACCAAAAAAACAAGAATGATGAAGCAACTTTACAAATATATTGCATGTCTATACAAAGATACAAGGACTACAGAGCATAAATGGGTGAACCTGAGGTTGCCATCACAGCTTAAAATGTTAGTGGGATAAACCAAAGCACTGCAATACAAGGTTTGTTCAAGAATAGAAAGCAAGGAAGAAAGAAGTTGCTGTTCTATATATCAAGAATGCAAATAATACTTCAGTATTCAACAAAAATCTGTTTAACAGAAATCCTGTTGCATGTCTCAGTAAAAATGCACAGAAAAAGTAAAGGGATGCTGATACAAAGGGTCTACTTCAGGCACCCTCATGAAAAGAAGGGAATTGCTGAGGCATTTTTTGGGGCAGGAATTACAAGAATTTTTTAAAGAATAAATCTGGTAGCAAAGCAACACTTGAAGTATATATTCTGCTTTCAAAAAAGACAAATCAGAAAAACACGTTCAAAGTATACTTATAGGCCAAGAAACCCATTGTTCAAGCACAGACCTTCATTTTAAGAGATGGAGAAAATTAATAGACAAAGTTATTTTAGGCTACTTGAGAAATTGAAAGTGAGTTTACCTTTTTATATAAGGAAGAAAAGTTACGGGAACAGAGTTTCCAGTAAGGATAATGGACTTAAAAACCAGAGCGAACTCCAGAAACTGCTAGGGTATCTTACAAAGAGAATTTCAAGGCTAAACGCATATAAGACAGCTAACAGCAGTTTAAGAGATGATATTCTAGGGCATAGCAGTAAACTTTTTTGAGGAGAACAACTAATTGAATTATATTAACTGACCTGTGTGGCTGATGGAGTTATCTAGAATTCAATGACTTACAAATCAAAACAGCGGAAACAAAAGTTTATGCACCCATATGCTTAAGGAGAAGCACAAGTCTGTGGGGATAAACTGAGAAAATCTAAGACTCAAAACAAGGCAGAAAGTGTAATTAGGGCAAGAAAAATTTCCCTGAGCTGCAATCAAAATAAGAAGCAGCCAAAGAAAAAATATAGGTCTGTTACTAAACACAGACAGTCAAAATGAGTGGTAACTAAAGGATAAAGAGGATTCTTGTCTTTAAGAAGTGGCAAAAGGAGAAACTGAAGGAACTTACAGTCAGCCAAACTTTCATTGGAGGGAAGAGAATATTAAGTATGAATATTACATACTTAATTGTAAAAGAATCTACAGGATAGTAAGATGATAAACAGTCAGTATAGTCAGGTCAAAATCAAAATATGTCAAACTAATTTCTTTCCTTTCTCTGACATGATAGCTAGCCTAATAGATAATAAGGAAACAGCAGATGTGACATATCTTGAGTCTAATAAGGCTTTTGTCCTGCATGACATCATTACAAGCTCTTAAGCGAACATGGTAAAGACAAAAAGTCACTGTAAGGTAAGTGAAAAACCATTTGAAAAGCCACAGAGAACCAGTTGAAGAGGACCTATAAGTATTATTTCTCTCAAGCATTTCTCTATTCAGTACATTTCTTGATGTGGATAACAAGTCAGAAAATATGATTTTAAAAAACTGAAGATGATAAGCAAATGCTCTGGAGAACAGGATCAAACTCAAATTGATCTTGAAAATTAGAGAAACAGTCTCTGGAAATGAATTCCAAATAAAATACACAAGTACAATGCACTCCATTTAGGACACTGGTCACTGCCTGAGCCTCTTGAAAATCTAACGACCTTCATAACAAAGACCGAAACAACAAGCCCTTCAAAAATGCTTCAAACCAATGCATCCATACTCTGATGATATATCCCTACAGATGCTGCACAGTCTCACATGGTCAAGCTCAAGCCAGCAGGGAGCTATCCTTACAATTTTCCATTGTGCTCTGTGTGCACAAACAAAAGAAGTAAGATACAGAGACAGTAAGACCTTCCTAGACACTAGGAGTGAAGAGATGGATTTGAAGGTAATGCAATAATTTGAATCAGAGGACTGTGATGCTGTTGTGAAAAATAATAATAAAAAAAAAAACCCTGGCAAATAATATATGTGTGGTTGGAGAGAAGACATAATTTTCTGTTCTCTTTAAAGTTCAGGAGGCCTAAGCTATGGAAAACAGCACGCAACTTCGGTTAACACACTTTAAAAGGGAGACAAAACAAAGAGAGAGCCAAGGACAGAACGAATGACAAATTGCTTAGAAACATGAACTATGAAGGGAGTTAAATGGAAAAAGACAAGCTGTTGACACAGCCTTCCCAAGATGTAAAATGTTCTTGGAAAAAGCAATAGAAGGAGAAAACACTTTCTAGGTGTAAGAAGAATTCCTAGACATAATATAACTATTTATAAGACACCTTATATAATAGTGTATCAATGACATATAATGCAGTATACTACTTAAGTTGTGAAATAGCCTTAATGAGATTTTTTTTTTTTTTTAAATAATCAAGATATAAAACCATACGGGATCATCCAGATAGAATTATTTTGCCTTTGAGCAAAGGGAGAGACTATAGGATCTGCATGCTCACATTCTGCCTGATATATATGTGGTCCTCAACACAAACCTGTTATTTCCAAATGATGCATAATAATCACAAAAATAGGATCAAGAGAAATTAACTCATTACATTTACTTAAGGAATATAGCTAACTGCTGTCACTGAAGAACAGAGAGTAACAAACCTGATCAACAATGTCGTTGACTTTATCGCGCTCACAGTCCAAAATCACTCGCCTTTCCTTTTTTACCTCTAGATCTTGAAACAGTGAACGGTAAGTTTCATCTTTCCTGTCATTGTTAATATTTCCTACATTGATAGCAGTCACTTGCCATTTCTTTTCAGCAGCAGAATCCAGCACAGCTTGCAGTGTTGACAAGCCTAATGAAGCACAGGAGAAAACAGAAGATATGACTGATAAAGCTTCAGGAATAACAAGCTTCTAGGATGTGATTTATGAAATTACTTATTTAAGATTTCCCTGTAACTTGTTTGACCTTTCACACATTGTTAGGACTCAGAAATTAAGGTATGTGTGGGCCCAATCAGTTCTTATTGCATGAAATTTCTATTTATATTGCTTCAAGGAATCAGGGTAGAGCCTTGTAAAGACAGCTTTTAGGTTTTGCTTCAACCTTCTTCAGAATGGGATTTTGCCAGTTTCACTGATCCACTGCTAGAATTCCACATGCTTGGAAAGATGTCATCTAGGGGAAAAGTGATCCAATTAAGGCAAGAGTATCAGCAGCTTATTGCAAGATGTTATTGAACTGCTTTTGTTTTCAGCACTTGAGCTGTACTGTATTTAAACCCAGACTTCACTGAGGTCTATGGTAAAATTCCCATGTTCCGCAGTGGTGCTAATGGAGTTATTTCTGTTGCCTACAGTTATATCCCTGATTATGAAAGACAATGTGCTGAGATTTTTCCATATAGGTAAGAAGGCTCAATGCTAAGACCTACAAGCAGCCTACAGAAATTTGCTTCCATTTTACCCTTTTGGCACATTCCTGCCAGGAAACTGTAATGTCTGGATAGCTGCAACTGGCTGCAATATATTGTAAAATCAGTGAAGATTTTACTTGGCTGGTTTTCCTTTTCAAGGATTAAATAACAGAGTAAAGAAACCTGAAAATTACTGCTGGAAATTAATTTCTGCTATACAACAAATACCGTTTTAACAATTTCCAACAGTACAGGAATTAGACTTGTTATGTTTAAATTCATACCAGAGAATTCTACATAATTCTAGAGAGCAATTTTAAGGATAGCAGATAGTATTGTAGAAAAAAAAAGAAAATTAGACTTTCTCACAAGCCAATTGACATTTTTGCACATTCATCTCCCTTGAAACCCAGAGCACCAGGAGTCATTTCTTCGAGACAGATTTCTGACTTGCTATGTAAAGGAAGCTTCAGGTATAACTCTCATGAGAAATAATAGTGGTTATGCCCATAAACGTAGAGAGAAAGCACTAAGAATTAATTTGTTTCATAGTTTATATATACATCATTAAATTAAGATTGATCAGTGTTTATCAATTCAGCTTTATCAGTGAAAAGGGTAATGTCATACAACACTATACAAGACTGGTCATCAGCAAAGGTAGAAAATATCAGGCTTCCAAAAGCATAAATTCAACTATTATCTCAAATAGTTCTGGTTTTCTATGTTGTCTTTAAAGAAGACTGATAGGAAGTTTTGTATGTCATGCAGTATTTATTTTAAAACAACAGACAACTACAGTCCAAAGGTACATATAAACTATTTCTAACATGTTAAAGATAAATGTGGAGAACTCATGGTGAAAGGAAAAGATAATTAGTGTAAACAAACTAAAAGATGTAGGGAATATCTTAAAACATTAAAAAGCACTAAGATAAGTCTATACCTCAAAATAATATTTTAAATGGTAATTTAAAAGTTAAAAAACAATGACACACAAAAAAAAAAACACAAATGGAAAAGTATAATCTGAATCATTGTTTCAGATCTCATTTACTAGATTTCAGGTCCTCCAATCTGTCTATATGTTTCCTCTGAGTTAAACAGAATCTCAGGCATAAGGGCTATTAATGTTAATACTATCCATTACAAAAGGTTTCTATAATTTACTCCTCAGATCTTCCTTTTTCCTAGGGACTCCCTTTTTTTGGGGTGCTCTTTGCAAACATGTCAAAAGGCTGCCTGGATTTCTGCTTTTTATAGGTGGCAGATTTGTCATCCCCATACAGTTTAGTTCATTCTGCTGGCAATAACACACTGCAAAAGAACAACAAACAAAAAAGCATTCACAGCAACACTTCTGTGGACCTGGAAGTATCTGGAAAGTGGCAACAGAAATGGGACTCTTCAGAGAAGAAAACTCCAACAACTTCAGTTGCTTTTTTTAAACTGCAGAAATACTTCTGAGAACCTCACATGCCTGAACCTCTTTGGTCATCATGACACAAACTCTTAATTCGGTGAGCTCTGACAAGGAGGACTGAACAGAGGCTGAGTAAATTAGCAATTCTGTTACAGACAGAATCCTCCAGTAACATCACTGCTTTTTCCAAAACCCACTGTTTAGTGAGGAGACAAGGAGGGTAAAGGACACTAATGAGAGCAACTGCCATATTAAACCAGTAATAGCTTGGACACGCAGACACTGAATGGCCTCACTCCTTATAAACAGGAATGAGATATGAAATTGCCCTACACTTCAACCAGTCAGCCTCTAGCCACAGAGGAATTCTACAAGTAGCAATAGGTAATTCTTTTGGAATAAGTCATCAAACTAATTGCTATTATCTTTCCCAGCTTCAATGAAGAGTAAGCTTCTTTGCTTTGCCTTTTTATCTCACTCCTGAAGGTGGAAACTTTTAAAATTATGTATCGTTCCTTAAATATATGTCATTGTCACTACATTAACACCTATGCAAAAGTGCTTAGAGGAACTGTGGACCCTGTGTATTCGGTTTGATGTCAGTGTCGCTGACTACATACTGCTTGACTCTGCAGGTTAACCTTGTGCAGTCAGTGGGAGCACTGAGGAGCAACAATTTACCCAACATAAAGGTAGGAGCTTCATGCCTTGGAGCTTGTTATCACTGGGGTGCCTTGACACAATTAAAACAAATGAAAAAAAAAGGTATAACCAAAGGATGACTACAAATAACAATTTTGTTCCATTACTCCTGCCCAGATTCAGGCAGTGCAGCTCACAAGAACTAGGTGCTTTTCAGTATTCCCTAAATACAGTCTACGTGCAGGTCACATACTGCACGCTGCTAGCTGATTGACAGAGTATTAGCTAAGGAAGTCGTTTTACATCTGTCCTTTCTAAAAAAGGCAGTGATTTTTTTTTTTATTCTAATGTGAATTTGAAAAGGATCTGCCAGAGAAACGGCCTTAGGGCTCATCATCCCACAAGACATTCTGTTGGAGGCCACATACAAGTATTAGTTCTTCTAACTTTAGTGCTTGCAACAGTGATAAAGAACTGTCTCGAGGAGGTCCCTTCAGCTTTTGAGCAACATAATGTATAAAATGGCATCAGAGTGCAGAGAATCTAACACCACCCCATTACTCAAGAAACCATGGTATAGTATAACCATCCTTCAAACCTAGCAGCATCTTACCATTTAATATGAACTGAATATTCAGCTCAGACCAATGAACATGCAGTTGAGTCACAAAAGAGCCTTTTTAAAGGGAAGAGGAGAAGGTAAGAATAGAAAAGTTAGTCAAGAACTACTAGGTGAAGAGAACCTAAAAACAGAATGACAATATTGGTATTTCAGAAAGGGCAGTCAAAAAAATCCCACTTCTGTATAATGCTGCTTCTTCTCCGAAAACTAATGGATATACCACAATTTGCAAGTGATTTTTCCCAGTTCATAAACTGTTATATTATTACTACTATGGCCATAAAAGGGCATAGGACTTGAGAAGGCTGTACTGAAGCAAGCAGTGGATTTGGGTTTATCAACAACAAAAAAAGTCTAAGCTCAACAGAGGAGAGGAACTCGGGTAACTATCAAAAGCAGTCTACAAAGAAGCAGGGACTGCATACAAGACTCTTTCTTGTTTGGTGCCCAACTATTGATTTTGCATGTGTGGAGTGAATCTGTGGTAGCAGATTGCCCTTCATGCTCAGCTGGTTTTACTTCTCCTCAGATGATTCTTAAAAAAAAAAGAAAAAATCTTTTGTAGAAACTGTTTTAGAACATGTGATTAATCTCACATTGCTTATCAGCACATGCTTTCAATTCTGTTAATATATACTGTAATAATTTCATTCACATTTGAACAATTTTTCTGTCCCAAAAGCTCATTTCTAAATTTAAGCTTACACTTATACTTTCTACAGGTAAATATTCCTTTCCTCGTTTACCTTTCTAATACTAATTCAGCATTTCAGTGAGATACATCTAGCACTGTGTGCAGATAAAAAGTACCACATCTTACCTCTGTCACTGTCATACAAATACGCAAACTTGGTCCACTGATAGTATTCAATCAAGCTAAGAAGAGCTCCCTTGAGGTCAGGTCTCATCTGAATTACAAAGGGATGTGTTCCATCTGTTGGGAAGCTGGGAGTTATGAAGGAGACATGAAGAGTCCCACAGAACGAAGTTATGGTATTTACAGACTTCTTGTCATAGAATCCAAAAATAGCAAAGACTCCTCTTGAAAACTGGGAGCAGACTAGGGAGGAGAAGGAAAAACAATTAGGTTGGAGAATTTTTTCAAGAAAATTTATTGCAAACTCTATCAGGTATATATTTATGAGAAATAATGAAAACGTCTGATCATATAAATACCAGAAGAAAACAGTAATACTCTGCTATAGGGATTATTATTAGTTAATATTACCAACCAGTAATATAAAACTTCCACTAGGAACAGCAACAAAAACAAATAAAAATCAGAGACGTGGTTCGCATTTCTAGGGGATTAATTTAGAAATAAAACTCAACAAGTTATTCTTAAATGTGATTTATACTGTAAAGAATAGTGATGCAAACATCTATGGCAGCTGTGATTTATAAAATGAGTCATTATGACTACACACAGTATTATGGAAATAGGTAATTTTTTGTCACGTTAAAAAAAAATTTGCTCTCAGGTCAAGACTCACCGAGCTTTTTGCAAAATACCTTAAATAACCTTCTATGTGGGGAAACATAAAGCCAAAACTAGAAGCAAATTATTAACAGCAGAAAAGTAAGAAGGTGATTTGCTTTAAAACCCTTTCGTTTGAAGGCATTTAACGCCTGCTTTGTAGGACTCAGCAAAAGCTGGTCCTTCTAGATGACACTTGTGGTCATGATGCAGAAAGAATAACCTCACAGACGTAAATAACATGCTGATTATTCACTTTTTATCACTGGAGACAATTCAAGCCTATTGATGAATGCTACTGACCACTGCAGCCTGTGTAAAAGATCTAGTTCTTCTAGTTTATTCTCTTTGACACTGCAGGCTGTACTAGTTCTAAAACCAGGGTACAGTACGGAAATGTTAATCTCTGATTAATTATCATTCCTCACCTATGCATTATTTGGTTTGCACAAAGTCACCTTGAACAGGAGAAAACGTCATCAGCCTCATTGCAATCCCTGCTACACCTGACCTGCTTATAGATGGAAATCACAGTGTAATTGAAGCTAATTTTGACCAGCTATTTAGTGCACTAATCCTTGAATATAATTCACATAAAGGCAAAAATAAGTTGACTTATTTTTAAAATTTTCTCAGATTTGAATTAATATTAGTACAATGTTTTCTCTTTTAAAGTGATCACATCTTCATTTAAAAAACAAACAAACAAACAAACAAACATCCTTTTATGCCTGTTATTATTCATTGCTACTCTCTTTTCCTGGCTTTGCCTATCTATCTTTGCTACCATAGTCATCTCTCATACCCTAATTATTTCTATAGCCAATTAAAAGCACCTAAGCTATCGGTGAAATTCTGAGTCTGACAGTTTCAACAGTTATCACCTATTAGCTTTAATTAGGTCAGAATTTCACCTTAGGTGAGAGAATACAAGTGATTAAAAATACTTGAGTAATACCCCTTTACAAAAGGACGCTGCAGGTATTTCAGGGCTAGGGTACACAGTGGTCAGACCTCTTCTGTTCCAACTGCAATTCGTTATGTAAAGCTCCCGTATTTATCTCAAGCTTATTAAGGGTGTAACACTGCTCATGTTTAACAAACGTTTCTGAAAAAGGCTGTGAATTTTCCCAGTAGCTTTTCTGTTTAAGTTACTGGAACTCCTTGTTCAGTTCCAAATCACTATGCTCTCGCTGAGACAAAACCAACTCACCACCTCCCTGCATGCTCATTAACAATTGTTTCCCATCTGCAGCAAAGGCTAAATACTTTCTGAACTTGCTACAATAAAGGCCTTAATGTCTCATAATCCACCTTCAAAAAATGCACATTAAAATGAAGCACCAGTTTACATTTGGATCCCTGGGTGAGAATTCTGCATAGGACTGTTACTGGCACACTACTGTAATCTTCTGTATTAAACCATTTTAATGCTGCTTGTAGTATGACAGAGACAACAACAGTGTCATCCCAGGATCACGGAAAAATAAAAAAAAGTTTTATGCCAGTTTTGCTGACTCCTGGGATGCTATCCCATCTCCTGCAACACTAACTGCTTTTCTTCTATCACCAGCCAATGATTTCAGGCATAGCTAAATTAACGCTACCTACAACAGCCAACAACCAGGGCCAACTACCTGTACCAGAAAATTTGAAAACCGTAGGTGGTGCCTTCTCAGAAGCATTACTGCCACCCCTAAGAGGGAAAAGCTGGGGTCTTTGGAACACTGTACTCCAGTCTCTGTCATGGTTCCTCCCCATCCTTCCCTCCCCTTCCCTGACACCTGGAGATCTGGACCTGTCAGGCCTTGGCTAAACATCTTAGAGGTAATAAAGTTCAATCTGTCCATGCTATTGGGTGGTTTTAGTTAAGTCTCTGTCCTGGCTCCTGAACTCATGTAACTAAATAGATCTCATCTTCCATTTAAAAAACCATTACACTTGGGGAAAAAAAATAAAACAAAAACAAAAAACCCACAACCAACCAAAAAAAAAAAAAAAAAAACACACCAAACCCATAATTATTTGTGATGGCAAATAGAGCCCAGATTACTTATGATAGGCTTCAAACATGAATTGGGACTAATTAAAGGGTGGGCATGTACTGGGTCTGTCTGGAATGGCATTCACTGTCCACATAGCAGTCCATATGGTGCTGTGTTTTGGATTTGTGGCCAAAATACTGTTGCTAACACACTAATGTTTCAGCTATTGCTGAGCAGTGCTTGCACAGCAGCAAGGCTTTCTCTTTCCCTCTGCCCATCCCAGCCAGTAGGCTGGGGGTGGGCAAGGAGTTAGAAGAGGACACAGGCAGACCAGTTGACCTAAATTGGTCAAAGGGATATGCAACACCATATAGCATCATGATCAGCCATAAAACTGTGGGTAGGGGGCTCTGACTTACAAGGTGATTGTTGCTTAGAGACTGGCTGGGCATTGGTCCACTTGTGGGAAGGGGAGAGTGCTTGCCTTTGCATCACTTGTTTTTTCTCTTTCCTTCATTTATTAAACTGCCTTTATCTTGACCCGCAAGTTTTCTCACTTTTGCATTTCCTATTCTCTGCCCACTGGGGGCAGGGGGGAGCGAGTGAGTGGCCATGTGGGTGCTTGGCTGCTGGCTAGGGTCAACCCATGACAGAGTAAAAGGTGTTATTCCACCTTCCAACCACAGGACAAACCTGTTAATATCCCTGGCCTGTGCCTGAATGGACAAAGGTATTCTGTACCTTTTCAGTGATACAAACGTCCATCCAGTCCACTCTCTCCAGAAGACAACAGCTGTTCTTTCAAACTAAACATCATCCCTGACATGACACAAACTCCTATCACCCCTCTTCTCTAGTTATTTACTGCCTATTGATCAAAACACAGTTCTGGATAAACACAGCGAATGGCTCTCCATTTAATAATCTTTATACCTGGTAAATCATCAGTCCTTACATGTCTGTGTCTTCTTATGGGGAAGGTGGGTAAAACTGGAATTTTGATTTCCTCTCCCGCACAGAGAGACAAGTAAAAAGCACCACCTCTACTTGGGTAGATCAAGTCACTGCAGTTCTAGTTACTTATAGGAGCTGCAGCTTAAATGCTGAATTCCACCACACGTGTACACAACCCTGACAAATTATATGATAAAAGCAAAAACATTTTTTATTTTAAAAATTATTATGAAACTTGCCACACAGATATAAACCCCCATTTAATCCAACAAGGGCCCCCTGGATGTGAGATAAAAATTCTTTCTAACACAAATCTTGAAAGTAAGGACATAACACACATTAGCAAATATTAAGTTATGTGGGTCAGCCAGAAAATCGGGATCAACTTTAATCCAGGTAAAAATAAATTTTCATCTGCAGTGATCAGTGTCACAGTCATACATTGAAGAATCAGAGTGCTGTGCTTCTGTGTGTGAAATTCCTCTAAATGTAAGTGGGAGGGCACCTATATCATGTAATAAAAACTTGCTAAAAATAAGCATTTAGACTTTGTCTCGAAACAAATGCTTGCAGTTGTTCTGGGACATTTGGTCTCTCAGGTGCAGAAGGGAAAAGAAGGGATGGTATTTTCAAATATATAATGGCAATCCAGTGGATCATGCAGAAAGTGTAATTGGTTTTGGCAGGACTCCCACCTTAGTCTAAGTCTACAGTCATGTAGTTATTGTTGGGAGACATTAGTTTTATAATGGTGAATCACAAACTGTTCACAGTTATTAGATTAAAAAAATCATGACGTTTAGGACTCATAAACCATTGATACATGAAAGATCTATTTTATTACAGACATTAGAAACAACTGTCAAGATTCGTTTCTTTCAAGCTCTTCTATATGAACTGTTTTTCTCTGCACTTAATGTTGTCCTTTCTAGAAGTAGTCAACGGCCTACTTATCAAGAAAAGGTCCTCATTTTGCGGTCACTTTTGTACAGAAACTCACCTAGAATGACAAATAACTGGGAATTCCTAGAAATGGGGTTAACAATTAAAGGTACCTGAGAAACAACAATTCCCAGAAGGTTTTGTTACAGTTAAGAATTAAGTATTTTAAGTATCTGACTTCTCCTTGTTCTTCTGCTAATGTAGCCGGGCAAAAACCTAGTTTCACATTGTTTTCCAGAATACTAAAAATGCATCCTAGTCTTCTCTTCCAAAGTTTAGGGCACAGATTTGTTCAGCAACAAAATTAAGCTTAAGCCTGCAATGAGAAAAAGGTGCCTTGTCAAAGGAGGGCTAAACTACTTGCTCAATTATTAACACTTCCATTGTTAACTACATCTGTTTCTTCCTAGACCTTTTTACCATGATGCACTCATACCTTTCACTCTTTCACACGTTCTCCATTTCCCTATCCCATTTTGTCAGTGACATGTGATGCAAATTATCTTATATCTTTGACTCAAAAAGTGCCAACTGAAGAGTACATTTGAAAATTCAACTTATAAAAATATTACAAATATGCTTAAGTTTTACACAATGAAGTGATGACAGTTTAGGAATGACACTTCATTTTCATGACTGAAGAACTGAATCTTTAGAGGCATAAAATCACTTAAAAATAGTTGCATTTGAATGCATATGCTT